CCTAGAGGCCCACTTAGCCCATTTGTGCAAGGCAAGGGATACTACTAAAGTTTAGTCCCACATTGCTAGTTTAGAGGGAGTTGGACCTCCTTATAAGGGAGGCTCCTTCCCCACTTGTATGAGCATGAGAACAAGAGGGACATCCACGCGCGCTCCTCCTCCGCCCCACGCCACGCCACGCCACGCCTCGCCTCGTCACGACGCGCCGCGCCGCGCCGCGGGTTGCGGGAATGAGCCGAGCCGATGTCTAAATTTTTGCCACGCACTACGGGTATGCGAAAGGTCACTCGGAAGCTGAAACATTTTGTCTGTGCCTGGACACTGAATTCGAACGGCGCGCCTCTTCGGCTGCTGTCTGTTCGTTTCGTCTCCCGCATTCCCTTCAGCTCCCGGCGCAACCTCTCGCCTCCTTCTCTTGCGCCTATAAAAGGGAGGTCGCTCCTCTCAGAGAGACGCACCAGAACTACTTCTTCCTCTCGCCACCGGTTCCTGAGCACTGCGCTGCTGCTACGATCTTCTCCATCCCGGCTTGCGGCGTGCACCGCAGGTCGGGACAGTAGGCCTCCGAAACCGCACTCTTTGAGTCCTGTACGGGAGAAGGGTGATAAGGTTTTTGGGGAGCGCTCTGCGCGACTACTGGCTGTTTCATCACGGGCGATCCGGTCACCGGCGACGACTTCTTCCCCGACGTCCACGACCTCCTCGACGACATGGCAGGCGAGGACACCGACCCCAAGTCCAGCGCTCCTGCTGCTGCTGTGCCGTACGTGTTCTTCTCCTTTCTGTTAGAAGTCCTACTATAGTTCTTGGCTCTAGTTTCTGTCCTACGTATGTTAGGCTCTATGTCGTATAAGCAACTTCATCTAGTGACTGTTCTAGATGTGTTTATCTCAAGTTCATATATGCAGACGATGTTTACCTTCTCTCTGTCAGATTGCATGACTTGCTTTATATTTGCTATTCTAGCCATGTTTTATCTACTATTTCTGTTAATAAAATCATTTGGTAAATTGCTCATATTTCCAACAGTTTCATGCATGAAGTTCCATTGAATGATAAAATACACTTTAACTTCACATGCGAAAGTCTCAAAACAGTATACTTTTTTTGGTAGTCAAACTATATTACATCTTGCATTGTTTAGAAATATATGCATTTTGTCGCCTAATATGTGAAACATTAGGGTCAATATCTACTGCTGCTTCTTGTTTTTCTCTACTAGCAGTTCCTCTACATTCAAGTCTAGCAGTAGCTTCGTTTTCAAATATGTAAGGAATTACTTTTGAAATGACACTACTTGTTGAATGTTCAACTTTGCAAAATGCAGTGAACACCTATTCTGATGTTAGAACTGTTGTAGCGTCACTCTGTATATCTTGCTTGCATCTTGTCTGAATAAAGTTGAAAGTTAAGAAATAACTGAACCATATTGCTCCAGAGCAGGAACTAACTGAACCAATTTTTTGTTTTTTCCAATCAGTGAGAGAAAGGTACAGTGAGCTTTTCATATGTAAGTTACAAAGGTCAGCAAGGCATTCCTTCTTGCAGTTTGACGAACTAATGAGAAAACATGCCGAAGTTAACTGTTACTGGTTTGATTTGCTAAGATCAGTAAAATACATGCACACAAGAGCTGTAGTATATTTATGTGGTTGCTAACTGAGCATATGCATGCACATGTCTGAACTGAGAATATACTTAAGCTCCTATTCCTAATTAGCTTAGAACATACATGTTTTTTTTTGTGAATGAATGCTTTGTTTGCATACTTATTTGAATAAAGTACAAATAACAGGAAGAAATTGAACCATACTGTTTGGCAATCAGCAAGAAAGTAATTGTAGTTTATTTTGTTAGAGAAATAGATACACTTTGGTAGTATATGTTAAGACTGTCGGAACAAGTTCTCAGACATATCTCTGGCCTCTGGGTATATACTACTCCGTATATACTAAGGCCTTATTCCTGGAGAGCAAAAGTTTAGAAAGGTTGTGGTGTTGCTCTGAACAGGAATTGCTTACATGCATGGCTAAATAAAGTGTACAGGAGAGAGCAAAACAGAACAATACTAATTATAGATTAGGAACTTAGGATTAGGCATGCACATGTCCTTTGGTCAGATAATTTGGCTACGCAGGAGCTGTACATGCACACATTCAGGTAGAAGAAATAGAAGCCAGGAAAGAAACCTTTCACGGTAGTTTATGCATCAGGACCCTTTGTTATTCCAAAGAAACACCCAGCTATTTCAACACCACCATGAGAGAGAGAGAGAGAGAGAGAGAGAGAGAGAGAGAGAGAGAGCGAGAGAGAGAGATCTGCGGGAGAGGGGACAGGTCCAGGGGTTGTGCTCATCTCGTGGGCGAGGAAGTGAATGCAGGGAAGGCTGCCAGCTCTAAGCCGGAGCTCGAGGTTGGCGTCGCACGCTCTGCCACGACATCGTCCTCCTAGCAAGGGGTTGAAGACGACCCTGCCCGTCGCTGGGTTGGGCTGGGTCGAAAATTAGAACAGATAGCGCCGAAGTACATAAGATTTTTTCTATTTCCTAGCTAAGATTTTTTCTATTTCCTAGATTAGAAAAAAACTAACAAGAGGGACCCACCCATAGGTCAAATACCATCTTCGACCGTGTCGATATCAACTCTGGTCAGTGGAAACCAGCCAGGGACTGTTTTTGACCGGTTTGGGATTGTTTAGGCGGTAAGGGAGCAGAAATAAAGATCAGTGGGTTGTGAACCACCAAGTTTCTTCAGGGTAGTAAAATCGATCTTTTTTTCTTTGAGTTTTCACGAAGGCAAGTTTTATTGTTTTTCACCACCATGCTTTTTTAATGACCATGAGAAATAAAACTATACCTTTTGCCATATAAAAATTACAAACATGTTTCTGCTCTTCCAAAATAATTCCCATTATATTTTTTAAGTGAACTTCTTTTCTTTAGTTCTAGTAATAAGAACATGGTAATTATTAATTACACTATGGAAATTCCAAACATGATTTTTTTTATTAGACAATGGCAAATTTCCAGACATGGCAAATTTTCCATGACAACTTTAGTAATTAGACTATGGTAGTTGTTTTGTATATAGCATGGCATTTTACTATATTAGACCATGACATATATATATATATATATATATATATATATATATATATATATATATATATATATATAGACACACACACACACACACCATGTCAATTTTGTTCATTAGACCATGGCAATTTAATTAACTAGAACATCATAGTTTTTTGTGTAGCATGTCAATTTAATTATTTAGACCAAGGCAAGTTTTAAAGAAATTCTATGACATTTTTTGTTAGTTAGAACATGCAATTTAATTAACTAGACCATGTTAAAAAATTTATGTAGCATGGCAATTTAATTATTTAGACCATGGCAAGTTTAATATAACTTCCATGACAATTTTTGTTAGTTAGAACATGTCAATTTAATTAACTAGACCATGTTAGTTTTATTTGGTAGCATGGTCATTTAATTATTTTAGACCATGCAAGTTTAATATATATTCCATGGCAATTTTTGTTAGTTAGACCATGGCAATTTAATTAACTAGACCATGTTCGTTTTTTAGATAGCATGGCAGTTTAATTATTTAGACCATGACAAATATAATAGGTATATCTTTGCACTTTGGTTAGTTAGACCATGGCAACATAATTAACTTGACCATGGTAGTCTTTTAGGTAGCATGACAACTTAATTATTCTATACCATGGCAATTTTAATGTCTATAACCATGGCAATTTTGTTAGTTAGAACATGGTAAGTTTTCCTGTCTCAAAACTATTTTTTTATCATGGACCATGTCAATTTTGTTGGACTTATCATGACAACTTTATTTAACATACCATGGTAAAATACTATCAAATCTGTTGACATGATATTTTTTTCCCTAGCCATATCAAATTGCATTGCTTTGCACAATGTCTACAATACGACAACTATCTCGATTTCTTTTCTTTTATCTATGCACGCCTTGTGTGTTTTGAAATCATGATTATGTTGTACTCCCTCTGTTTCAAAATAAGTGTCTCAACTTTGTACTAACTCTAGTACAGAATTGTACTAAGCTTGAGACAGTTATTTTGAGACGAAGGGAGTACATTATTATTTATAAGCATGACAACTTCTGCAGCTAGTAAACAATATATATGTTCTTTAAATCGTTGGCTATGCGGTAGTTTTATTATAAAATTGACGGTAAGTCTGCATGCTTTTGATTAATTAAGTCAGGTGAAGAAATATTAGTGTTTCCGAGGCCTGTTTTTTCTAGAGGTAAAAATGGTTTTTTTGGCCCATTTTTTTGCTCGAGACCTTATCTTTTCATGTTAATGACAAGTTTGTCCATGTGGAGGGTTCGCGCTGAAGGTGTCCTTTTAGCAAACAAATTCGTCGCTTGCTCGACCTTCACAGCACGAACGAATCGTTCGCTGGGAGGTCCCGTCAAATCTAACGTTCAATAGTATCGGCGTACAATGAAAAAAGATAAGTCGGGATTGGATAAGATAGGGTGCTGCTTTCAGGGATTTAGAGTTCAGGGTTCATTTCCGATCCCGACTACGAGTTCAAGGTTTTTTTTAAGAGGTGTGTTTAGGACATATCTAGATGTGACATAATTATATTACATCTAAGCAGATGTCCATTCTATATGTGGTTTATTTTTATTTATTTTTTGTTGCTGCATTATATATTTGTGGGAGCTTGGATGTGACTTTCTTAAAAAACATGTAGATGTAAATTAGACAACTTGTTTTTTAAGACTTTTTCCATTCTTATTAAACTACCCGAAGACAATTACAAGTATGTTTTGGTTGGTAGTTTGCATGCTTGCATCATGTTTTGGTTGGTAGTGCGCTGATGGTTTGGCCCACTTCATGTATTATGACACTTTTACTATATGTAGCTCGCAGCAGCAAACAAGTATACGACGAACTTGATATCCCAATAGTATCAACGGTGTCCTTGTGCGCGCCGATCAGCATGCGCCAGCCTTGAACCCCACGGCGCCGCCGCCAACATCGTACAGCACCTCGATCGTCCGCTGCTGCACGTTGCCGATGATGCCAAGGGAGCTGTCATCGCTGTTGGCCGCAAAGGCGAGGCAGCTGTCCAGAATGATCCCGTCGGTGGCGAGGTCGACGACGACTTCCCCGGAGAACACCAGTGCGACGCTCGGTATGTTGATGGTGGACTGGCCGCTGAAGTCGAAGCACGTGTCGAAGATGCCCATAGGCTGCGCCGGCGGGTACTGCTTCATGCCGGCCTTGAACGCCGACGATAGCGCAGAGTACGCGGTCGCCGGCAGCCGCGTTATGATTGTGCCGGAGTCCATGATCGACCTGCCGGAGAAGACCGAGGCGGGTATGTTGAGCTGCCTGCCTCCCACCCTGATGGCCTCAAGGAGCACGCCGTAGTACGACGGGACCTGACTGCTCCTCAACATCTGTGTCTTGGAGAAACCTGAGGTTGCTGCGCCGAGGGTGAGGAACCCAGAGGAGTCCGGAGTCGGTGGGAGGCAGTACGAGAAGGCCTTGCCGAAGGTCCCCGCGGTCTGGGTGGCGAGCGACTGAGCGCCGCCGCCGAGCCCCATGAGCCCATCGGTCTGGTCTTCGAGAAGGTTGCCCGACTCAGACTGGCTGCATCCGAACTGGAAGTTGCTGACGGAGCTGGAGCCCAGCGCGAGCTTGTCGGAGCTGTACGTCCCGGTCCCGCTCGAACCGTCGCCGTATTTGACCATGTACTGGCACTGGGAGCCGGAGCAGCCGTTCCCCTCATGGCTCTGGCTGAGCTGCGCGCAGGCGGCGGAGCTGCAGGAGAAGGGTGAGTAGGTGCTCGACGAGCTGGGGTCGAAGAGCGAGTCCGCCTGGGTGTGGCACTGCGAGCACGGCTTGCACTGCACCCAGGACACGTCGCTGCCGGTGTCGATGAGCATGGTCTGGGTCATGGCCGGCGAGCCGATGCCGACGGTGATCAAGTACTCCAGCGTGTCCAGGGAGGTGCCCAGTGTGGTCGGCACGGTAACGTCCGATTGCTCCATGTCACCTGCGCCACCCTTGACGCCGGAGTACTTCCGTCTGATGTAGGCGGCCCGGAGCTGGTCACGCCGGAGCATCTCCTCCAAGGTCGGCGCCTTGGTGGAGGGCACAGGCGAGGGCGAGCACGGGCCGTGCCGGTGGTGCAACGGCACGGTGACGCCGCCGGATGATGGAGTCACTGAAACAGCCGAAACAGAGAAAACACGATGACAAACGTGCTCAAAATATCCTCAAAATAGTGCAATGAAAACCAATCGAATTGCATGCATGTGCGTTCATGGACAATGCTACTGCACCTTTGGGCTGGGAGCAGTTGACGGCGGCAGATTTCAAAGAGCCAGCCTGCAGAACCTTGTAGGCGCGAAGATCGTATCCTTCGTGAGCAACGAGAGTGTGAAGACAGGTGCACAGCAGGAGAATCACAAGCTTCGGAATAGATGCCATGGCTGAGATGCAGTGAGCTGCAGGTTCAGCATGCGAGCCCTGCTTTTATACCGCATGCGTATAAAAAAACAAAAGATAGAAGTAAATATCGCATGATTCGATTGTGATTTGTGAAAACAAGCATTGTATTACTGGGCAAAATGTGTGGTGAACCTACGTGAGAATGCTTGTGAAAACAAGCATTGTATTATTGGATCAGGCACCGTATATCAGGATTATTTGTTGAGCCGACGGAGCGCGACGTGGGTTCATACGGCAACTTACTAACTCCCCTGTGGTACGGGAAAGATTGATCGAAGAGTACAAAACGATGATGGGACGTATTTCAAACCGTATGCGGATTCTTTCCTGCCTGCGAATGCGACCTCCGGCCGGGGTGGTTTTCAACTGGGCAGATAATGCCGCCGGCCGTGCGCGTGCGCGCTTTTGTCCGAGTACGAGAGCCCGACCGGAGGGAGCGACGCTGGTAGCAACACCGGACTCGGACTTCACCTCGCGTGAGAACGCAGAGTACGAGAGCCCGGCCGGCCGGAGCAAGTATCCGACGTAGCCCGGCCACCCGTTTTGCTTCTCGGTCGATCGGCGAGGTATTGCGGCGTGCTAGCGTGGGAAAACGGGGCGTGCGTCACATCGTACCGCAGCGACAACGTACGGCGGGGTTGCTGTCTCCGTGGAATTCGTGCGACTACCCTGGGCTCTCGGTCGAGCTCAGCTGTGTGGCGTGGCGTGGCTTCCGCTGCACCGGGTCGTGCATGCGTGGGGTTCGAAGTAGGATCTAAAAAAACATTATTCAGCATCGCCTAAGACGATGAACAGCCTAAAAACTAAGCTACTTTGACCTAAAAACTATTTACATACATGGATCTGACGACCTCCCTCACCATCGACGATTGAGGTCATCGACGGAGGGGAGCCGCCGGAGAAAAACGGCGGAGGAACTCCTTAGCTACGGGGCACTGGCGAGATCTCCTTTCCTTCGAGAGGAGGAAAGAATGATGTGTCTGTTGTTCGCTTCGGCTGGCCTGTATCGTTGATCATCTTCTCTACTACCTGTATCTGATATGCGCACGCGTCCGTCTTTTAATTTACTAGCTTATGCCCGCGCGGCGGCACGCCGCGCCTATGACAACAGAATTGTGTGTGCGCTACGTTAGCGAGGTAATGATTAAATCTTTATTTTCTTTGAAAACAAATGGTTAAATCTTTATCATTTGGAGCAAAGTACTGTATGTTTTAGTGCTACCCCGTAAGGTGATAGTTGACCGAATGAACCAAAGAAAATAGGGTTTGCATTTATATTTGATGAAGTACAAAGAGGGCGTTACATGGCATAGAGAACAGTATGTTTTTCATAACACCTAGATCACCAAGGATACATATAAAAAAATCACCAAGGATAGTGGAAACAATTAGTGCGCCATGAAGGGGGTGGTTTGTTGTACAGAAGTCTATTAATCTATTATAGTTTGCTCTTTGCAACAACTGCTTGTATTTCATCATCATGGAGAATACACTATAGAATATGTTAAAATATACTACCTCCGACTCAAAATAAGTGTATCAAGGTCGTAGATTAAAATCGTGGGAGAAACGATTTCACGGCTGGCTCTCCCAACAGCTATAGAGGCCGCCATAGTGGGCAATAGCGGCAAATAGCGAAAAAATTCTGGTGGGAGAGATGATTTCTGAAGGATTTTGCTGATTTTTGAGCCATTTAGAGGGATATGTGGAGAATTTTGCAGTAGCAGCCATAGCGTAGCGGGGAGGCTCCTGGGCAACTATAACGCAGCTATCACGGCTATTTCACGGGCGATTTTGGGACGGAGAGAGTAGGAGATCACGCCATGACCGAAGCACAAAAACAAGGTACCGGGACAATATATAATTCTTAGGAGAACCTGGAATTTTAAAATTTGGTGCATACACCTACCCTGCCGGGTTTGTGCCTTTGATGAAGTAGTAGATAGCTTGCGCGAATGCTTGGATATGATTGTCTGCCGGTCTTGGACGTTTGTATCAGTGTATTTGACTGTTGGATCGTTGTTGCTTGGGCGCTGCTGGTACATATGAAGCGGAAAAATGTCAAAAAAGTTGTTGTAAGTATTTTATAGGATTTTGAGTTGTCTGGCGAATTTTTTGCAAGGACCTTTGCTTAGCCACGTGGTTCATGTGCATGGCATTTCTCTTTTCTGTTTTTGGTGATGTAAATCTTTGTATCCATTAGATTAACCTCCTTTCCCAGTTGCTTAGATCAGGCAATCTATCTGTCATGTCCTGTTTTAGTTGGAGTGCGTACTGCATTGTCAGTATTGGTAAATGCAAGAACGTTTCAGAACTTATAGCTAGTAAAAGTTCAAATCTGCACCGAGTTTAGAGTGTAACAATTAATGAAATATTCTATACAGTACATTCGTAAATGCCAAAGACTCGAGTAATGAACCAGAAAATTCAAATTCCTTGATTCGGTGAAAATATTTGCAACATTGCCTACTGGTGAGTCCTTGCAATTGCAACTGAGTTCATCTCTATGATGCATCTAAACTTAAATAACTTGACGCCAAAATCGGCAAACGTTGAACACTAAAATTGTTGTACCAATCTCCACCCATCCATCTTCTCTACAGAACATAACACTGAACAATTCCTCTTATTGCTGCCTAAAACGGAATACTGTAATACTCATCAAACAATCTTCATAAGCGAAATCTACATGCATCGACAACTTACAGAATATTATGCGATTGAATTTGTCCCTAAAACTCTGAACTCTCCGTAATTGAACAAAACTAAAAGTTTCATATCACATCATTCAATATCCTGAAGGATATGAAGAGAAAAAAATCAGCGAAATGTAGTCTACCGATTTGTTAGTTTCATTGACCAGCAAGAACGCATTATCATTTTACAACAAAAGAAAGCATCTACAAGTAGATGCATTGAGGCGATAAATGGAAAAACTGAACGAGAGACTGCTTTGTTATCCTTCCAGAATTCTTTGACGAACCCAAAAGTGGAATAAAGTACTCCAAGGTTCTGACAGTAGATTGCAAAATTGCAGCTAAGTTATTAGGAGGTCCACTTACTTGGCGGCGAAGCTTTCGGTCTTGGCCTTTTCCATGGCGGCGAAGAAGTCATCAATCTCTGCCACCGTTAGCATCCTTCCTCTCATCCTTTGGTCTAAGTGGAACAGCGCTGCGGTCTTCGTTCTTGACGGATACCTCCTGCGTGTTGTGTTTGTGCTTTTGCTTCTCCGGCACCTGGCTCGAGTCCAGGTTGCTCAAATCTACAGGAGAACGGCTTGACGGCGTCGTCTCCCTCATTGATTACCACAATTTAGATCGAAAGAAAAATCCGTTCAAGTTTAGCCTGCATTAGTAGAAAACAATGACCAATTCAGAAGAATTCGGTCGTTTTCAAGGGAGTATTGACTCATCTGCCCAGGCCACCGTATTCAGCATGCCTGAAGACCAAGACAACCAGAACCAAATCTCGTAATTAAGCACAACAGAAACAACTCGACCAACAACACGGATTAACGGATAATTCTAGGTCAGAGTCAGACACGCACCTCCACTTCGTCGCCGCTCCTCTCTCTAGCCACCACGTTCGCCGCTGTGGACACTGTTCTTGCGAACGCGAGACCCTTGCCACGACGGCCTCGTCCGATGTTCGTCCACAGCCTCCTCTGATCCGCTCTCTAGTCAATCAACCAACAGGAGGTCGAGAGCGCAGCCCCAACTCCCGTCTCCTTCCACGGCTTCCAACACCGAACGTGGCCAGTTGTTTGGATACAGTTTCTCTGCACCACCTGGGCTGCTTTCTATTCACAATCCGAGTAGGAACACAGAGAAGGAGAGCCCGCCCCGGGAAGAAGAAGAAGGCCGGTCGAGAGAAATGAGAGGATCAAGAGGAGGAGGGACGCTACATGTAGAGACATCGGTAGTACTTGTAGAGCACCGGACGGCCGCCTCGGGTCAGATACTCAGATTCATACATGGCCACCTCGCCTTGTGAAGAGGGGAGGGAGGGAAACGGCGATTGGCCTCGACACCGCACGGGAAAAGCGAATGGATTGGGGCAGACGGGGCCTGAGGCGTAATGGCGTATACAA